TCCTCTAGCATTAAAAAAAGTTCTAGCACTCAGGAAAAACACAACCTTGTTTTGTTTATATGTTCTGCTCCTTCTTATTGCCATCTTATGCTTTATTTATTTTTAAACTAGTAATCTTTGTAATGTTATTTAAAAAGGTGCACAATATATTATTCAAATTAAATGCCAGGAAATAATAACCAAATATTTGGGTCTGAGTGTCTATATAATATTTTTCGGTTTTTTTGTTTTTAATATACTGTCCTATTTTTCTTTCTAGGCACTTTGTTTAATGGCACTACCATTTATTCCTGCATCAAACCTTTTTTTTCCAGTTGGATTTGTTGTTGCTGAACGAGTACTATATGTTCCTAGCATGGGGTTCTGTATTTTAGTAGCTCATGGATGGCAGAAAATATCAAACAAAAGGTGAATTAAAATGTTAGTCCACTTAATACATCCTTGCTGTAGGTTTAAATATGCCGCATACTCATATTGTTTCTATTTAGTGTCATTTTATTATATTGTTTTTCATCTTGATACTGTCCTCACTTTTCTACAATTCATATTATGGAAGCTCCAAATTACACTGTTCTGTCTATGTTCCATTCCATATTTATAATTTTATTTTACAGTTTGAGATATAGCAAATTTTGAATTAGGCAAACTGAAATGAAAGCAAGAATATTTTTAAGCCTAAAACTACATTTGGCATTACCTCTTTCATATGCAATGGGCTATAAAGTGCTCTTCTTACTTAAGTGAGCCGTAATTGAGTTAACATATATAATACTAATTATTAATTTTTTTTAATTCTGAACTATTTTAAAGTCAATACTATGTAAAATGTACATAGCAGTCCACCACATGTTGCTGCAGCCTTATTTTCATGGTAATTATATCCTAGTTGCCTTAAAGTAACGGGTAAGGAGAATAGCCACCCTATGTTTGTGGATACAGACTGTAATGGTAGCTCATTGTACAGGTATGTTGAAGCACTAAATTCTCAAATCAAGCTTAATGTTCATGGTTAAGTAATATTAATGTATTAGTATTAAATTCGTATTTGTAACTTGAAAGACGTGTCTCTTCTTTCTCAACCCTCTGAATTTTGATTTCTCCATATTTTATTTCACTGATAAATGTAACAAAGTATCTCATTAACTAAATCCATTAATTGCTTTTATTTAAAATCTATTGGCATCTGTAAAAATTCCATCTTCTAGTTCTTTTTCACATCTGTTCCTTTCTGCTCAGTCTCATTCTTTTTGCCACATCTCCTTAAATATTAACACTTTGCAGTTTTTTCCTGACCACACTTTTCAGATTCCACATTCTTCATAGATTTCTGCTACCATCTACTACCCCTTTTTCATACCCATATGCCCAATTATAATTGCTCTCTTTTTTGAGCGTCCACCGTGTCAGAAGCAGCCCTGGTAGTGTAATCAGTAACACATTGTGGTGCCAGCCATGAACCACCAACTGCCCCACAGGAGAAAGAGGGACTTTCTACTGCTGTATAGACTTTTATACTCTTGGAACCCATAAGGGCAGTTCCACCCTGTCCTGGCGGGTCACGTTCAATCAGCAATTACTTGAT